ACCTTTGCGGAAGGGTACGTACACTCGCATGGTAGAAGTTTAGGCCAGCGAGTCTCAGCCACATCTTAGCATCCTTCACAGTGTAGTCATATGTTGGAAGCCACCTGACAGAAACTTTTTTCAATTGCAGTTCTTTCAATATTCTGGCCTAACTCGCTTCTCCTATTCCCACTTTCGATGACAATTCATTCACAGTTATACTTTTGTCATCCAAAATGAAGTCGGGAATAAGCCGCACATTGTCAGGAAAATGCGAAGAGCGCAGTCTGCCTCTGCGTGAAATATCTTGAGTATTCGCTTGCCCTAATTCGCCCGATAATACCGGCTAACTGTACTGTGATCAACAGCATCATCTCCAAATGCATTTTTAACATCTGTGAATGTTTGTCACCGTCTTCTTCTCACAGCACGTTGCTTCCGCCGAACATGTAATGCAGCAGTCATCTTAAACTAAGAGAGAAACACTTGAGGAAACAGGTTGAACTGAATTTGATTTAAAGCGAGAAGAATGATACTTCGAAATCTGTAAAGAGCAAAGTAGGAGATTTTTTTAATAATTCATGTGCTTTACTTTTGGAGTGATTTACGGAAAATCACATGAAAATCTGTTACAATGCTGTTTCTCTTTCGAATCATTTTTAGGAATGACTAACTGATGTTGCTGTATAAATGTGTTACTGAATTCACACTAATCTCAGACTTCTCTACATGATGAAGATATTTCTTTCACAATGTTGTTACTACTATCCTATTACAGTGTTTAAATGAATAAAATGTATGTTGCACATACAATTTCTTCACTATCCTGTAAGTATTTCGCAAATTTAATAATCATTTCTTGTACGTAAATAACTTACTAATACCTATCTCGAATGTCACTAGATACCGCGGAATAAACCCAAACGAACCTAATACACATTTGAAGGTTCAAAGTCATAATGTCTGTATTTCAGATAATCTTATTGTCGCGTGGATATTGGTACCAACAAGGCCTCATAAAACGTTTCATTTTTCCGTCAACTACCCTTCAATAATGGTTTTAGCTTTGTACGTGTGTATTCGCATAAGATTAAAATAATATGAATTAAAAAAACGAACACTATCATTAACGTATTTTTTGGTATGACAGTTAAATATTACGCACATTTAACTTGTTCTTTCACTTAATATACATTCGAATAAATGTATAAATTGGTGAAAAACACTAGATGTTTCCACTGCTTATTGTCAATTCCTATCAAATACAAATAACAAACTTTAAGCATATTCTACTCTTTGTACGATTACTATAACACGTTATTTATAATGTATTTTTGACACAAATAACAGTAACATATTTTAAATTCGACTTGCTAATCAGAGAGGACAATTGAATTTGGTTGAAAGTTTCAAAGGTTTAACCTGTTAGGTTTGGCTCCTATGGTGCTCGGACAATTCTGTGCATTTGGTTCGGCTCACTACGCTGAGACGAATACAGAAACATTATTAAACTATATAAAATATTTTAATAAAATGTCACTGATTAAGAATAAAGGAATATACAATGTCAGGAAAACATCCTAAGATTTTTTGTTTATGTATTCACAACTTTTTGCTTTCCCGTATACGTACGTATTTACGGAGAAATGTACGTAGTTCAGAGAAAGTTATGTAATGCTGCGGAAAATCAATTTCGAGATTTCAATGGAAATACATGCTTTGAGTTATACCCTGATACTGAAAAAGTGTTTTTCCAAAACGTCCGTCCGTCTGTCTGGTGTATGTGAACCACTAGCCCATAAACCATGCGTAGAATTTCTTCCAAATTGAAGAAACCACTGTCCATTTGAACTGAGTCATAGCTCTGCAATTTCGAAAATCATTCATTAGTTTTTGGGGTACTTTACATGAAGTTCCTGAGACATTTTCAATATTTTCTCAAAAATGGATCCCGTTTTTTTCTTTAAATTTCTTGTAAGAATTAAATACACTTATAAAGGTTGCATAGGTGCGATGTTCACAGTTTACTCTGAATTTTCAAAAATTTCAAAAGTTTGAATTTTTCAGGATCTTTCTACAATTACAAAACTAAAGGATAGAGTTTTTTCTTCACATTAAATTCATAATTTGTTCTTTTATTAATGTTATGTACATTCTTTTTATTTTAGAAGTTTTCGCACAATATTGCATGCAATTTGAGCAATTTTAAAAAATTACAAAAACAAGATTTTCTCATAAACAACTCCAATTTTTTTCTTTACACTGGGAGATTGTACTAAATGCACTCTACGAAGTGACATAAACGCTATATTTTTTGTCATAAACGCCTCCATTTCGTTGTTTTTGCAAGAACAACAAAAATATTTTTTGCCTTTCCTCTTACGTCGTTAATATTTACATTAGTGGCAATTTGTCCATATTATATTTATGAGTACATGTGCTTTAAATAATGTCAGATAAAGTTTCTCGAAAACTCAACCATTTTCTGCCAAAACAATGCTGAAAATTTCGTAATAGCACTCTTTAGAAAGAGTTAAAAATCATTTCGGTGTATTTAAAAAAAATACTTAAGTGTACTTTTTTTTAAATAACTCTCACGCCGTTAATATGCACATTTCCAGCAATTTGTAAACAGTATTATATTAATGAGTTAAAGTGCTTCAAATAAGTTTTTCGAAAACTCAAAACGTTTCTTTGAAAAAGAGCTTCAAATTTCGAATTTACAGTAGCGCTTATGCCAGTTTTTGAAAAAGGCTCCAAAGTTTGCAAAGGAAATTGTCATTTAGGACACTGTTTTATTGTTCTTTAATAATCTTAAAATAATACCTCCGTTCTACAATTAGGAAACCGAAAAAATAATAAAATATTAAGAAAATGTACTTTGGGCGGCGATAGATGGTAGCTGATAAGAGTACGTGGCAAGTCCTAGTAGGTAGCTGAGACCAAAATAATTAAAAAACTAATATGGGAAAATCTGTACCATGCCGTAGCATCACTATTTCAATATAGCTTAATGGATTTTTGATCTCAGTACATCTTCAATAGCAATATTCTAAGATTTGTATTTAAAATTGCCCCTCACATTTTGTAGTACATGAATAGTGATTTCTTGATCTGGGAAGCGTACTGAATTTGTTTGCCTGAAGGGACAAATATTATTTCATTATAATTTCTTCTTATCAATTTTGACAGTTTAAAGAGTAACTAATAAGGCAAACATGTTTAAAGTCATAAAATATTATAAATGAGTATTTCATTCAAAGGTTTGTGTAAAGTTTGTAAAATAATATGTACGAAATATAAAGAGTATGATAAATTGGTTTCCTTGAATGTCACCTTTACGGAGCGTTTCTGGGGGGTTGTAAAGGGTCATTGGCTCTTTCATCTTTATTCTACGTATTATGGAAATACTATCTCCAGTGTACGCCGAAACCAGATCAAAAGCTTTACCGAAATGATACAGCAAAACCTTGTTCTCCTTTTTCATTTCATAAGCGCACATTTCACAACTTTCTTGATAAGTTTACGATCGCCGCGAGTATACGTCCTCTTTAACTTCGTCAGGAGTTAGAGGTGCCTCCCTTCGAAGGACCTGATCGGCATGAACTGGTATCAGAGACGAAGATCCACTGCCGCTAACAGCAGAAGAGAGAAACGACAGCATAAAAATATTACAACGTCCGCGAATTAGGTCATGGCACACAAGTAATATAATGCATGTTTACCAGAAAGAACTATTAGACATAACTTCGCTGTCAGAAATTTAAAATGTTATACTGTAAAATGAATAGTCACAAAATAACTTTCGACTCTTCACAATATTGCTTAACTGATGTACTTCTTAGCTGAGACTTAATGTTAGTCGCTGTGACCTATCAAAAAGGAAAACCTCATTAGAAAAGATGCAATAAACCATTTTAATCTTTGAATGAAGGTGAAATAAACAAAGCATCTGATCATTTGGGTATTGATGTTCTAATATTGTTAGTTTTTATTAGCAAGCCAATATTTTTTCAATTCAGATAATGTTAACTGAATAAAATATTATCTACGTTGTTCAATCTATACCACCCGCAGAGTTGCCAGACTCTTTATGTGTAAAATTCACCGTCGCATCGGAGATATGCAAATCCGCCCAATTCTGTCAAACGGCAGAGTGGGAAAATGGTATGAGGTAAAACAAACGTCCTCTGACACTGGGGTTGTAACATAAAATAGCTCCACTTTCACAAGATGTTCAAAATTAAATATCCTTGCCTAAAGATTTTTAACTTATCTTTAACAAACAATATTTATACAATTTTTAGAAGAGGGTGGAAACGATTACATTCTATTTAAATAAAAAAGTAGGCTCTGATATCTTCTCATAATAGCTGTAAGCATTTGCAACCGTTTCAGCACTAAAATTCCTGTGCCTAGGACATATATTTCATAAGACAAATCTTTGCACAATTTTTAGGAAAAGGTGGGAGGTACTGAAGATTTATGCACAAGAAGGAACACATCACCCAAAATCCTTCCGGGAAACAACACCCTCCCTCATTGGACGTAATCCTGCAAAATGCATTTTCTTCCCACACGTCGAGGCCTTTTTTTCGCCCAACTGCATCCCTGACCACCCTTATCATTTTTAGAGATCACAATGTACCTTTACCATTTTTTACTACATTTACAACCAAAGATATTTGATCAAGGAAAACATTTGACTGCATAAAATTTGGCACAATGAGAATTTATGAACAGACACAATGTTTTCTAATTTCAGCCATTTTATTTTCACATGTGTCTCCGTAACAAACGTACGGACCACAGAACGGCGCCCTTTTTTAACATATTTTATGTAACTATTAAATAGCATTTATCAGACTTTTTATTAAATACTTAAATAATATTATTTTGAAAATGTGCCAATTAAAACGAATTATGGCATCCCTAAAATAGTCTATGTTGGAAACCCTGTAAACTGTTTAATGGTTTAACAAATGAAACTTGTTTTCGCCTGTTCTGGCCAACTGTACAAAATGTCTTGCCAATTTGATATCTACAGTGAATTTGCTCGTTATAACACCATTCTACATAAAATGAGGTATCGCAAGAAAGGTAAGTTCAACAAACCGATTTATTTTCAAATCGCCTCTTAATTTGTTAATTTCATTAAACTCAAATGATATAGTTCTGAAGTGCTTAAATCTTCATTCAAGGTTAAAAAATTCGACTACGTCTCGTAAAAACTCTTGTAATTGCAAATAATAATAACAATATTATCTGTGGATCTCAACTGAGATCCGCAGAGTTAAAGATCAAGAGAAATATAACATGTACCCAATGCGTAAGTATTACAATGCCTATCTTCTTCTTAGAAAACTAATTTGCTATTTATAATTTATTCAATACATTTTGTTATAAGTAGGTGCAATTGATTTCTCTGAAGAAAAATATGACAAGGTGCAAGCCATAAGGATATCAAAGTTTAAAAAGGATTTGAATCATCCGGGTTCTTAAACCGAATATTACACGAGCACCAAGAATGTTTCCGAGAGTTGGAACTATTGAAAGGATGGAAACCATAAAGAATCACAAAGGTTCATTAAAAATCAGAGAAAAATGAAAAAAATTGTTTAGAACACAAGATTACAAGGTATTTTCTTCAATTTGAAAATTTTCAAAGCAATTAAGTACGTAGAAGCTTAGAATAAATTACTAAAACTCTGTTGCACCTGTTCGAACGAATTATTTTGTTCATTGTAAGATACACAGACATTATTATAATATGTAAGAATTCATAAATGTACGTAATACAAAACAGTCTGCATTTCATCACGTTTCTGTGAAAACGAAAAGTGTCTAAACCATGCGTGCTACAAGCTGATTTCTTCAGTTTCGTGTAGTAGTTCATGATTTCGCCAGGCCAGATGGAATTCGAACCTAATTCGATCAGCTTGTAGCACGTCTGATTAACAAATTACATTTGCTCCAATACTACATACGTAGTATATAGAAAGAATATTAATTCTGCGGGAAAAAGAGGATTATCTTCTGTTTTGGGACAAAATAATGCCCGAAGACCTAAGAAACCAGTTATTCCGATCTCTGATTATATTAACCGAATAACGTGATACCTCTAATTTAACATTTCGATGTAAGAACACCAGGCTTCAGTGAAATACAACAGGATAAGATATGACAGTGAAACATAAAAACAGTATTATCTTTCCTTTTTCACACATTTTGGTTATATTGTGAGAGGAGAAAGGGGCTGTGTGCAAATAATTTATATTTTTCCCCTTCCAGATTTTTGCTCACGTGATACCATACAAAGCCATGTCAATCATGTTGCGTTGTGGATGATAAGATAATTTACAACTTATTTCTGGAGAACGCATTGGTTTCCTTCAGCGAATGAATGAAAGATGAGCAACTCTACCAAAAAATTGTCTTCGGACGATGCGCCGACTAACATTTCCAGATCCTTGCGCAACGGTATGACCAATTCAAGACTTTTCCCTGAAGAAAATAGAGGAAACTCCATTTGTGATTAAATCTTCATTCAATGGAGGGAACTCTACTCTTTCTGTTTCGAAACGGCAGTGCTTGTAAAAAATAGTTCAGGATCATACTTTAAAAGTTGATATATAGTGTTATATTCTAGCAATGATTTACGAAGTCCGAAGTATTTGCACGGTTCAAACTAGTAAATACTATTTTTTTTTACAAAAATATTCTAATATTTTCCTCCTTATTTCCCAATGTTACTCGTTTAGAAAAATGTCTATTTGAAGTTAGTACTTATCTGTTCACGTTTTCTCAACCTTTCACCCGCCGTCTCTGCCCCGCGGTTTAGTGCCGTGAACATCGCTGAATCGTTAACCGGACCAGCAAGGGATACTAGTGTCGTCAGCAGCATTACTATTACCACCTCAAACACCTGCACTCAACCTTCGGAGAGTGACCAACAAACCGTCCCAGCGTTCTAAATTAACATGTAATCATAAATATTTGGCGTTCCCACTCATTACGCTGCCAAACATGAAAACCATGTTCGTCAGACGGGCGACTTCCCTAGGGCGACAGCTGCCTCCAACAAAATGGAGAAACCGCTTTAGCGGCAATAAGGTACATAGAATAAAATAACGAGGAAAAGTTAGAAAAACAGTTTGTTTCCATTTCAGTTGTTAACGAAGGCTTCCGCCATAGTCATTGACAATATTGCCAACATTTAGGTCGTCAAACTTCTACAATATTTCCGTAGCATTCGTTTTGAAGGTCAAATTAAACAGAAAATATCTCTTCCTAACAATCAATACTGCAATACCCTAACTTTTTTTCAAGCAATCCGCTTATGAGAAGAGGAAGTACATGGACTGGTTTGAAAAAGTGTAACAATAGGAATCGTATATGACGATTAAAACGGATACACGTTTTCCAATAAAACACCTGATATATTGAATATTGTCTGTTACCAAAACTGATTTTTTGTCTTTCAGAAACTACCCATCGGCGAAATGGCCTTCCAGCAACGCGCACGCCAGAAAGAAAAACCAACAAAAACATAAACAACAACATCAACAATAAAAGCAACAACAAAACCTGCAGAAATAAAAATAGCAAAATAAATAACAACAATAATAATAATAATTACAACAATAACAATACACACATAGGCAACAGCGAGAGAAGCACCCGCGGCAACCACAACAATTCCCATAGCATTAATAGCGGCAAAAACACAAGTAATGTCACCAATAAGACAAACTTGGCCAACAACAATGGTATTACTGCTGTTAACATTAAGAACACCAACACTAGTAGAAAGTGCAACGAGCTTGACAGCACCCTCAACAGTACGAGGAGCAAGGCGAATACCAACGCGAGTTCGACCGCCCGAGACGGCGACGGCAGAGGTGGCGCCGGCGAGGGGGCGGAGGGCGGAGGCAACGACGCGGGCGAGGAGGCGTGGCCATGCCCCACCCCGTGCCCCACGCGCTGCTCCAGCCTCGACGAAGAGAGCACGTTCGAGTTCCGCCAGGCCACCATTAACGCGGCCATCAACACCGCCATGGACCGGGTGAAGACCGTCGCCCAGGAAGGAGCCAGGGCCGTGCTGGTGGACGCGGCCAAGCAGGTATCAATGAAGCCTCCTAGAGGCACAGCTAGCAGCGGACACTACCACAATCGGTTGACACAAACCCAAATATGCCACCGTTTAGAACGTTTTAACTGCTAAATAATTACGCGAATATTAATTAAATTCCTCGTAATTAATTGTGAATTGCCGGGTGTGCCTTCCGGCCAGTCGGCTGACGTCACGCAGCGCGCTAGACCACCGCGCCGCGCCGCCCGCCAGGCTGATTGCGGTAGATTGAAATGAAACACACAGACTGGCCGAGGACTGTATTTTCTTCGATCATCAAAGCGAAATGGTCGAATAAAATTATGCCAATACTGTTCATAAAGAACCTCCATGAACTTTAATTATGATCGCTGAATTACCATATATGTGTCATGGTCTACGGTACGTCGGTAAAGGATTCAGGAAACAATGGTTCGTCTTTAATATGATCATATTTCGCTAAACTCATGTATTAAACCATTTTCATATTTTTAACAGCACAACAATTCGAGGTTCACAATTTGCCTCATCAACAGGCTTACTGTGTAATACGCACATTCACCACAAAAATTAAATTTAAAAACATTATTTAGTGGATACCATAAGTCATGACAAATAAAATACTAAAATTCCAGTCATCACGGACAGACTCTCCGTCTGGCATTGTTCTGGCTCCGTCTCATGGTCAGACTCTCTCATTGTCTGGCTACGTCTGGCAAAATTGTCACAGTCATTTATCAAAAGTGTCAATTGTCAATTGTCGACAGTCTGATCTCTGGAGTTTTCCTCTCTGGAGATATCACGCCATACGATGCATAAGATCTTTCTAATGCAGTGAAACACATTACGAAGATGTTGAACTTCATAATGTACTAAAAAAATGTTCTTAAATTGAAACTTAACCTGTTTGTACATTAAATGGATGTTAACCCGGACAGGGCTTGTGCGCAAAGCGCCTAATGTTGTTGCCCGACATGGTTGCACGGGACTTTCTGTTTCGACTAATTACCTTTCGCGAGCCTCAATAAATAACACCGCTGGCCGCATGCGGCCCGTGGCCTGCCAGTTGGACAGCCCTGCTATAGAATTACCTTTTTCAAAAATATTTAAAAAGATTTAAGTACAATTTGAACAAAACACGCATTTTTTATTTTTCAAAACGTTTGTTATTAATTTATTTGAATTACGTCATCCCTTGTTAATAATATTCGTTTCTCCCGCGAAGATACAGGAGGAAATGAAGACCAAAATGAAAGATTTACTTTTAACAAATTGAAACCATTGCGCAAGAGTGATGAGATATTCTTTGAGCATTATTTAAATTTTTGCTCCTTCGGTTTACTTGATCTGGATACCACCAATGCCACCTATATTCATCGCTTGTGATGGTGCCATCTTGACTGTTCACGTTGAAGGGAAAGATTAGGATATTCTCTATCTGTATCTCTATTTACGCTTTCCGTAGTATATTGTTTGCCGTAGAGTGACGAGGTTTATTTTCGATAACTATTAACATTCAGTCTCGCCAGACAATAAACTGGATAGTACTTTAATAGTTTACTACTACCTCGAATGAAAAATTATTTCCCTCATTGCGTGAGTGAAAAACAGCCTTTTAACATTTTGCCGAGGATTTACAAGTCTGCCTTCTTCCTATTTTGAGTATGTGAGTATAGTAGATTAGCGTATGTTGTAGTTTAATGTGTTACTGAAGATTGTCGTTTCGTATTTCGTGATTAAAAGTTAACGGCCTTACATACATGTCCTAAAAGCTTATTTTCATATTTTTTGGACTAATGTGTGTTTATTCCCCCAGTATCGTTCATACAAATCGGCTGATAAAGAATTTAAATACGTGTCATCAACAAGATTTAATGTTAAAAGTTTTTCATTTAAATATTCTATGTAAAACGCAAATAACTAAATAAATAAGTACAAGATATAGTATATTTAGCTCGGAATTGCTTTCTAATTTTTTAAAGAGAAGACTACTTATTTAAAACTGTTAATGAGTTACAATGAACCAGGGAACAGGAATTCAAACAATGTCAGTGCATATGTAGTGCCAGAAAAATAAAACACGAAATAAAAAATAATATATAAACAGTAGAAATATGCCATGCTAAGCTAGACATAACGGTAGATTGCTCAATTAAATTAAGTGTGGCATACGTTCATTTCACAACACGGATCTTTGCGTTAGACGGCCAGGTATTCAAATCTTATGCAAACCGCTCGTACCCACGCTCCACTATCTCCCCATCCCCGCAAAATATGTCTTCTCCCCACCACTTGCACTTTCCCGCTTCTCTCCGCGGCCGCTGGCTGTAACGTGCAAAATGCCCCGGGAGAGCAGGCGATGTGCAAGCCGTATAAAATACTGTTCTAAGCCACTAAAATGTTTCAATAGATTGGACATCGCCTATCTGCTCGGCCATTACTAGTTTAGTTTTCAATTTTTCCGTGTGAGCAACAGTTGCACCGGGTTGCATCCGCAGTCTGCTTGTTTAAACCGCAGTCCTCAATAGCACACAGAATGCATCACCGTGGCTCTTATTTTCCAATACTCCACAAAAATTCGTATAAGCGCTGGGGGAGTAATAAGATGTGTTTTTCTAAAAGGCTTGGGATTCTAGCAGCCAACTAAAGCAATCGATTAACCGCTTGGGCGTGAGCGTGAGGCCGTTACTTTGGTCTGCTCTCTGTGACGCGCACGGATCGTCCTTGCGCCGGCCAGTGTGCCGTTAGACGCCTCTCGCTGCTGGGGCTTTGCCCTCAGCGCTGGGCGCGCAGGCTTAGACCGCAGCACCGCCAAACAGTCCTCCAAAGCTCAGTGGGCTTGGCGCCGCAAGCAGTGCAGTCAGGATCTGCACACACACGACACGGTAAGTTTACAATCTTCTACTTTTCTGTATTGGTGAGATGTAGAGAAAAGTTGTTACTACGAGTATTGTTAAAGAAAAAATCGGTCTCTAATATTTTAACGCAATGCCTGTTTTGTGGTTCCCTAATAGCGAAAAATTCGTTATTTCCTTAAAAAACGTCTGACCTCTCCATTAGTCCGTGTATCCATCAGTCCATGTGCCCATTACTCCGTCGTGTCCATTAGGCGTATGTCCGATAGTCCCGTCTGTCGTTCATGAGCAACAGAAAGCACTATAATCTTTACAAATGTTTCTAAAAATTGACATCTTTAATCCCTCTCATTTGCATTCCAGATCAATGGAATTGAAACGTTATTTTATTGTTTATGAGATGTTAATAAAGCATATTGTCAAAATTACATTCGAATTATTTCTATTAATTTTTTCCACGATTCCTCTTGTAAAAATGCACAGATTAATTTACATTAAAAATTCAACTCAATCTACAAATACAATGAAAGCAAATTTAAAATATTTGCTTATTCTTTTTAAGTTGAAGACAATTGTTCAAGTGAAGGCTGAAGAAATAATAGGATTTTCCCCCAACATTGTATATTTAAAAACACCAAGGGTTTTCGTTTAGGAAGTTTTTGAAATTTTAACACCGCAGAATTTCGTTATTTTCGCTGCAGTAATGGCCCTAGTCATGTTGTTCTTTTTCTTAAAAAAACCACACGGTGTTAAATATATTAAAATTATAGGAATTAAAGTTTAATCTGGCCTCTTATTTGTAATACAGCTTGGTCAGGCCAACTAAAAACTGCTATTCAATTGTAAATTGTTTCTTTGGTCGTTGTGATATGCAAGTTCGCAATTGATCCATTAAAAGCCGACCCTTTAAAGAGATCAATTGCGGATTTTATAAAACCATGATCTAATTGTTCAGACGCTGAGATTGTTCATGACAGACGGCGGACAAACAGTCGCTTGCCCATAAACCAATTTTTCGGTTGCATTAAGGCTCACAAAACCTGGGATTTTACTAATTAGCATGTTAACGCGATGTAATTACTTAACATAGTAGGAACAAAGTATTATCCCTTATTATTATCAAAGGACAACATTAAAACGAGTTTTCATCCTAAAAAGTGGACAGTTTTTTGCTGCATAGTAGCTTCCTCTACCCTACCATAAGAAGTTTACTTGTATGCACGAAATTTAATGTCTTCGGTAAAAAAAGATCATGCTATAAAAAAGTTGTTAAGTATTAGAGTCGTCAATTATATTATCAGTTTAATTCAATTATATGTTAGATGTGACTTTATTAATGGCCTGGGCATATCTAATATTAGGTGGAAGGATTACGAAATCTTGATTCCATCTGTCTCTTTTAGGGGAAGTCTGAATAGGAAGAAAAAATGTGCCAATTGGTTCCTGACTTCAAATAATGTCACTGTTTCCGTGAAAAATTCTCACTTAGTTACCTTGTTACCCACCATTCCACGGGTACACTTTGTTCTTAATTTCAATTAGTTTTCAGAATTTACTTTCTCGCTGTACTTCGTATGGAAAGAAAATTTCTTGTAGTTCGTTGCGCCGCAGCAACCGGCAATTTTCGACAGAAAAAATTCTTATTGATAGACCCTGGTAAGAAAAAATGGATAAATCTTGTTCCTATATGTGTGAATTATTTTTCCACTAATATTTGTGTCATAATACAAGTTTCGTGGTCACGCTTGAGTCATCAGAAAAAAATTATTGATAACGAAAACACTTGTGTACGTCTGTGGTCAATGCTAGCACCCTAAACCATTCATGTAGATTTCCCAAAGTTGATATATTTCCCAATCCCATTTTAACGAAACAGGTCATTCAAGTTTGAATCGGATATTTTGATTTTTAGAATACTTTCACATGACTGTCAATCATTTTCGAAAATTCAATGAAAAAACTGGCTCAAATTTTTGAATGGAATTTTCTCCTCGAAACTACTTTAGACAAGACGTAAAAAACGAATGCGGTTGTTGGAGTCACTGTATGTTCAGAAGTTTTTAAAAGTTCAAAAAGTATTCGGCTATTTTCTAAAGAGTAATATTGCATAATGTCTGTTCTTCAAAGACCAGGTTCTTGAACAAGACAATTTTTCGAAAATGAGTAGTTAAAATGTAATTTTGCTGCCACAGTGAACTTTTTTATTGGCAATTTAAAACATTTCTTTTCTGAAAAAACCGCTTCCAAGTGTTTTCTAAAAATAATTCCTTAGTATGTATGTGTGTAAAAACGTAAAACAATTGTACAGTCATTCTGGGACACTGTGTTTAAGAAAGTTGACAAAATGTAACATGTAAAACTTCAAATTTTAAGAGTTGAAATGAAATCTGTTCTAAAAAATAGGACTCTTAATGAACGTCATTTATAATATGTTTGAAAAAAACAGAACGTTTCGAATAATTTCTTCTTGAAATTAATCAAATAATAAAAAAAACATTTTCTCACAAAAACCGTTTCAAAAGTGTACTTTAATTATTTTCCGCTTAAACGCCGGGCGCTTAAACGAATGGTGGAGATTCCATTTTTGTCGAACTCTTTGAACTTGGAAATTATAAAAGTGTAGAATTAATGTATAAAATTGTTTATATTAAGATTATATATTATAATGTATGATAAAATTAATGTGTCGTTATAGCACCTCTAGTTTACGCTTTTCGTGTGGGAACAATAGAGAAATCAGAAATCAACGTGAGATAAGAGCTAAAATAGTAAGATAGCAATGGTCTCACTTACCGCATTGTTTCATTTATAACCTGGGTATCGTTCACCCGTATTTGAGCAGAAAACATGCAAATGAACCGACCCATTTAAAGAAGTCACCCTAACTCTGAAATTACGTGTTGTCCGGCACTCTAGGAACTAGGCAGTCTCGACCCAATCAGTATGGATTTCGCATCTGCATCTTTCAGTATCTACGCCTAGGAACCTAACGTTAATCTATTACTTGTCAAGTCATCATCCACCTTTACGCAACATTGAGCGCTTGCATTGAAACTAACCTTTTTGGCAGATTGACTTCGGAACTGGAACCTAGGTAATAACATCTGGAAACTATACCTTGATCGCTGACATATGCTTTCCATGGCAATCGAGTCGAGAGTATCATGTCGTATGATTGACCCGTCAATCGTCATATGGTTATTGGGATCGAGCGAGCGTCGCTGTCAAAGCCACGCTTTCGACTTCGACGGCGCAAACCGTCCCAGCGTTGTTGACCCCAGCCGGTTGTTGACGCAGTGTCAACCGTGCAAGTGGGCGCTGACCCCCTGTGAGTGGATTTGGTCGTCGCCTGTGCTTCAAATTGCAGATTCGTGTGCGGTACATATGTTTGTCTGAATTGTTCATATCTATGGAAGGATGTGTGAGAGTAGAGAGGGATACAATGCATCTGTTTTTCCCAGAATGTTGAAAAAAACAGGAAGTGCTGACACACTGTCTGTCGGGCTGAGAGGTCAAAGTGACATTTGACGGCCGTCTTGGAGACGGTGTATCCACATCTGAAATGAAGATACAATTAACCAATATAAGAATCCTTATTCATTTTTCATTATTTTTTTAAATTCCTTTGCAGGACAAATCGTGAATAAGAAAATTACATAAATATTTTGTAAAAACCATATATGTAGAAAAGATGAAGCATTTGTAACCACTTTAATAGCTTCGCATGCTCGTGCTCAAGTAATTTAAGTCGTAACCAATCTATACTAAACTTAACTGCTCATTCTTGTTTATCACTTGATGCTAGTTTTTAACGCTCGTACCTCTTTTTGACTGCACCTTCGTTACCGCCGGATGTAGAGAACAGTCAAAGCACAAGATGTCCTTTCTTTGTTAACTGCCATTGGCTATTTTAGAACTGAGACTTGCACCGTCGGGTAATGAAGGGATGCGCAACACGAGAACAGAACATCTTGCATCACCCCGAACATGATGTTTAGTCTTCCATCTTTCTCTTCAATTCGCATACTTCACTATCTCTTTTCCTTCACCTCTATCTTTGCACACCGTCTTATTTATTGATGTTCTTCTTTCGCATTGTTTTACCGCTTCCTGACATATCTTCCTATCTTCTTCTCCATTTCCTTCTGCATCATAAGCGAGAAACAAAATATATTCATTAACAAGAGAAACATAAAGTAAATAGATTAAATTTAACCAAAAAATGTTTGTTTGCGGAAAAAACCAATAGTAAGCTGTTTGTGCAAAAGAACAAGTAATCTTTTAATTCTACCATTCTACCACATTCGCAGATGTAATAGAAATGTATTGTAATGCTGCGGGAGAGTTAACGTCCGAATTTTTACACAAGAGAAAAGTTCTTATTACCGGTCCACTGTAAAAAAAAGTAAATACAGTGCTGTTTATAAGTTGTAAAAATGAACCAAAAATTATATTTTCGGGTGGAAAAAAACCTCTCTTTCATATCTCAAAATAGTCTCCTTTAGGTTTGTGCCATTTGGACTCAGAGTGATTTATCCCATTGGAGATAGTTTTGTTCAACTCAGCAAAATGGTTTACAGCACAATTACTTCCTCATTGATCTGAAAACGTCTTGCCCACGAAGCTAAATTTTAAGTTTGGAAATAGAACTTCATTCGAGCTAAATCAGTGAGTTATGCTGATAAAAGACCAATTCGAACATTACTGATGCAAATTTTGTCATTCGTGACTGCTGTGTGTGGCCGGAGAGACCTATTTGGTGTACCGGTTGTCTTGATGTAACAAAAAAAAAAACTTTCCCGCAAATTGTACGCGAATCTTGGCCGTTTTTCACGTAACCTTCACCCGAGCACCCCCAATAAGCCAGCAGCGTAATGGACATCCAGTCTATAGATTTCTGCCTACCATTTCCAAATAACCACAGACCATCATCAACCCACATCACACCACAACCATCAGCGAAACCACACCACACACACATCGATCGACCACGACCAAATTTCAGTAATACAATATATATTCACAGGAAATTAAAAAATTTAATCTGCTTCTACTTATTTTCTCGCTCAAAAATAACACTCTTTTCGAAGCGCTGAATCCCCTCGACATATCTATTATATCCCAAATACCATGTTGTATCCCCCATCTCCATCACTTTTTCAATCCATATCTCTTTTATCATCGCACATATATTACCATCGAATGATATAATATTTTTGTTTTTTCTCTCAGCTGTATTTTGCGGTGCCCCAGAGGGAGAGATATGTTTGTCAGAGAGACCAAAGGACTAAGATGAAGATATGTCACAGACAGCCGCTTCTCTATGTTGATTTCCAATAGTGTTGAAAACAAAGACAGAGTTAAAAAATTCGTCGCGGCCATATGATTAGAGGGTCAATAAATACATACCCACCCAGACCCCCTTCTGTCGCAGACCTGGACCGCATGAAAGGAAAACGCGAACTAAAGTGTAAGTATCTCCAAGTTGAAGGGAAAAGATATGATATACTAACATCATCTTCGGATTTACCATGATTTCAGAAAAGTTTCAAATGTTCTCGTAAGCGGTTTCCATCTGGCTATTTACCGACACAGATGCTGGTTTCAGGTTCTTATTGACACGAGCCATTCCTAAGAATTGACTATCTCATAGACCCAAACAATATGCGATCCGGTTAACCCAAAAAAGACATTCCGATTGCAACTCGAAACCTTGCTTCCCTCTCACAACCAACAACCAATACAACCTTTCTACCATTTTATCATTACAAAAAAAGTTTGAAGGGTGAGCTCAAATTCTTGCTTCAGATTTAATCGCATCAAATACACAGCCAATCTTCAAATTGCAAATTCGAATTTCCGCTATTCGTTTCCGCGAGGTGTCAATTTGAAATACGTTCGTGTTTGCCGTTTAAATTTAAAAACTCGTAGATTCTTTCTCATTGTCGGTAAGTCATCACGAAAGAACAATAAATAGGCTTTGTTTATTTAATCCTATTTTCGTTATGGTTTATTTAATCTTTCCTTTCATCATATTTGAGTTCCAGATACAAAATTAAAGATAAATGCCTACGCATCTTATTTTTATGCATTTGTAGGCGCCCATATATCAGATGGCCTCTGCCCAGTTATTCATTTAGAAAAAGTCTTTTATTTTAAAAACAAGTTTATCGCTGATTATGGTATAATTATGAAATTCTGAGCTCACTTCGAGTAATCAAGAGGAACTTGAGGCCTGAAATTACCTCGTTGTGTTGCTACAAATACTTACAACAAGTTGGGGAATTATTCACGTTGGTTACTTTTGTAGAAAATAAGAAGTCCTGCTATTCCCTAACTACCAAAAATAATAAGTAGAACATTACTTTACACGCATTGTTTGAATTAGTTTAGACTTTTCAAGTGATGGATGAATGAGTTAGTTGGGCAAAAAGGGCAATAGCCTAATATTATGTAGCCTTTCTAATAATGGAGAAAGATAATATACGTTCTAGCTCCGTTAGTTGCAGTATGCAACTTACCTCTGTGTCTTTCTATACAGTCTTGATTAGTCAGTTTCTTCTTTTCATTGATTAGAA